TGTGGCGGGCGCCTGTAGTCCCAGCTACTTGGGAGGCTGAGACAGGAGACTCGCTTGAGCCCAGGAGTTGGAGGTTGCTGTGAGCATGATGCTATGGCACTCTACCCACGGGGATAGCTTGAGGCTCCGTCTCAAAAACAAAACAAAACAAAACCAAAAAACTTACTAAACTGGTGTCTTTAAAATTATTCAACTTCTGGGTCGGGCGCAGTGGTTCACGCCTATAATCCTAGCACTCTGGGAGGCTAGGGCAGGTGGATTGCTTGAGCTCAGGAGTTTGAGACCACCCTGAGCAAAAGTGAGACCCCCATCTCTACTAAAAATAGAAAAACGGAGGCAAGAGGATCCCTTGAGCCTGAGTTGGAGGTTGCTGTGAGCTATGACGTCATGGCACTCTATCCAGGGCAACAGCTTGAGACTCTGTCTTGAAAAAAGATAAAAATAAAAAAATAAAATTACTCAACTTCCAGCTGGGTGTGGTGGCTTACTCCTATAATCCTAGCACTTTGGGAAGCTGTAGCAGGTGGATTGCTTGAGCTCAGGAGTTCAAGACCAGCCTGAGCAAGAGTGAGACACTGTCTCTACTAAAAACAGAAAAAAACTCTAGCAAGCACTTGTAGTCTCAACTACTTGGGAGGCTGAGGCAAGATAATTGCTTGAGCCCAAGAGACTGAGGTTTATGTTAGCTATGATGATGTCACAGCACTCTATCAAGGATGACAGAGAGAGATGCTTTCTCAAAAAAAAGAAAAGAAAATTATTCAACTTTCCCCCAAACTTCCTTTCTGGATCACTGTATAGCAAAATTCCAGAGATCTCTCATAGGCCTACAGCACTTAAATATGCTCTCTTTTCATGGAAATAAATAAATCTACTAGGATAAAAAACTTCAAAGAAGACAGCCAAGAACTCTGCTAAAGTAAATAGTCACACTTGCCCGACCACGGAGAGGAGAATTGAAATCTCCTATTTGCTTCTAACAATCTTTTCCCCCTGGGGAGAAAGAGACTCAATGCAAGGGTCCTTGTACACACTCGCCAGAAAGTTTAAAATCCTAACTTCTTCTCCAGACAGTGATATTGGCATAAGAATGTACATAGGGTTAAGTGGACTCACAATCCTTCATTTCCAGGTGTGTATAATAAAGACTATAAAGGCTAGTTAATGGCATGTTTCTACATACATGTAGAAAAGAATTCAGTGGTTTTGTAAATACATCAACCTCTTCCAACTAATCTGCTTTAATTCACAGTATGTGGATTTTTTTTTTTTTTTTGCAGTTTTTGGCCAGGGCTGGGTTTGAACCCGCCACCTCTGGCATATGGGGCCGGCACTCTACTCCTTTGAGCCACGGGCACCACCCATATGTGGATGTTTTTTAATTGCCTGACTGGTTGTGCAGAATAGTCATGTATGGATTGACTACAATATGCTCACAGAATCATTTATAATAAAATAGGAATCAATAAGTTGTTGTATAACAAGTTAGAAGAAAATATTCCAAATATTCAGCAAAAATATCATTACTCTGAAAGCTTCTAAAGTAGAGCCACTTGTGTACACACAGCACCAGCTCCAAATATTTCAGTTAGGACTGTGGCAATTACTAAGCTCTGTGTTTAGTGGACCACAGGCTTTCTTGGAAAAGACCCCAGACCAGACCAGATCAGACCAGACCAGGTCTGGGGACCTGGGATAGAAATTCACTGCAAACTTATTGTGTAACTTTGCACAAACCACTTACCCCTTTTTTGTCTCTCCATTAACCAACTTTAGGTAAGGATATACCTATATCCACAACAAGATTATATCTGGGAGAACAGTGAGGACTAATATTCAAATTCAAGAATTTTTTGTGATAAGGACATAATGTATTCTCGCTCTCTTTTTTAGAGTAAAAGGGAAAAATCCTCACTGAAATATTAATTGTCCACTGATCTCAAGGTAAAATAAAAGGTAGAAAAATGTAGAAGGAGGGTAATTGGTAGGACCACAACTATGGGGCATTTTACAAGGGTACATGTTAAATCTACTAAGTGTAGAATATAAATGTCTTAGCACAATATCTAAGAAAATGCAGTGGAGGCTATGTTAACCAGTTTGATGAAAGTATTTCAAATTGTATATAAAACCAGCACATTGTACCCCATAATTGCATTAATGTACACAGCTATGATTTAATAAAACAAACAAACAAAAAATAAGTCCTTAACACCAAAAGAAAAAAAAAACAGTAGAAAAGTATAAGGTTCACCTCTAAATTCAGAAACAGAAATATTTCGGTCCTATTCTTTGTCCCGAACTGTCTGGGCAATGGATATGAGTCTAGAATTTAAATAAATGACTGTTTCTTTGTAAAACAGAGAGAATTTTGTTGGTGTAATGGAAGGTGGTTATCGTGATGCACTACCCAATGATACAGGCAGTTCTATTCTATTTTTTTTTTTTTTTTTTTTGAGACAGAGCCTCAAGCTGTCCCCCTGGGCAGAGTGCCATGGCATTACAGCTCACAGCAACCTC